TTTGCTAAGCTTTATTAAGGTGTATAATACTGTTAATTGGAATATATACTTCTTTTTTGCTATTAATCTCTTTTGATATACTTTGGACAAAGTCTAGTCACTTCTTATTGTCTATTTCCTCATACTTGAATATCAGATATTTGTTAGATTTTTTCTTTATTCTGTTGTTATTAAAAGAGTTAATACACCACTCAATAGTTAGAGTTTTGTAGTCACTTCTTGTTATTTCTTTTATGTCTATAACTTTTAGAGTTAAAAAAGTATTCAAGATATTTTGTGATATGAGTATATAATCAATTTGGCTAGAGAGTTAAGATCTTTTCCAAGTTAGTATATTAATTCCAAAGGTCTTTAGTATACTTTGAAAGTCTATTTTTTGAAGATTATGAAGTAATTTGGCAATACTATCTTTTCTTTCTAAGTTTTAATTGAAATCACTTAGGATTATAGGTTGCAGATTATGTTTATTTGCATATTCTATTTAGTTAAGTAACTTGTGGTATGTTGCCTTTAGAAGAGAGTTGTTGTTAGAGAGAAGATAAAGAAAAATAACTCTGAAATAATTATTGTTTGATAAGAAAAAATCAATTATAATAGTAGTACTAGGAAAGGATATAATGTTAAGAATATATAGTTAGAGAGAATTTTTGATAGCAATAGCTATACCTATACTAGCTTCCTATTTTTGTGCTTTATCAGTAGCCATATTAGATTTAAAAGTTAGTAATAAGAATTGTTGAGTATATGTTTAATAAATTTTGAGTATGCTAGTTTTGTTTTTGTAATACTGAAAATATCAAAATAATTTGTGCTACAAAATTCTATTCATTGTTAAAATTTATTATTATCATTCATTCCTTGTATATTGTATATTGTAATTATTAGAGAAGTAGAATATTGTTTAATAGTATTATATAATACTTCAGTAGTCATTAGTATTATCAAAGATCTTCTAAAATGATACTAGGAGAGAAGGTAGTTTGAGTAAGATCTCAGAAATATTACTAAAGTTGAAGTATTTGTATAAAGTATTGAGAGTTGGAGTTACTGCAGCTTGTTCTGTGATTGGTAATAGAATTTGTATTGTATCTACTTCCTTTGTTTAGAAATACTTATTATATTTTTTCTATAGACTCTAGCAGCTAAATTTTGTTTTCTTAGTTTGTATTTGTCTCATCTAATTTGTTTTAGAGATCTATTCAAGTTTCTAGAAGTCTGATAAAATAGTAGTACTAATGAAGCATTCTTGCTATTTCTCTTACTAGTTTTAGTGAAGTAATAAATATAGTGAAATTGAAGTCTTCTATAAGGTTGGAATTATCAAGAAGTTAAGATTTGTTTTGTTATAAGTATAGAAGATAGTAGTAGACTAAATTGATAATAAGGTCTAGTTTCTTGTACAAATCTAATTGCTTTATTATCATTTTTAATTGGATAACTAAAGACAGTATTAGTTTTAATCTTTGTAGAATCTGAAGAAAGTTATAGCTTTAGTTTAAAGAAGTTATTAGAGATTTGTTTAAAAAAGTAGTATTTCTTAAGCAATTTGACAACTTGTGAGAATAATATGTTCAGCTCAGTTAGATCAATTAAAAAGAGATTTCTGACTCTTGAGTTAAGCTTCTGGTAAGCTAAAAGAAGTAGTTTTTTTAGTTTAAGAAGATTAAAGTAGGTAAAAGGGATAATTTTTAATTTATAGTAGTCTTGGAGTTTTATCTTATAGTAAATAAGGTTTCAGAGTACTTTCTGACTTGATATTAGGAAAAGATCTTATAGCAATAGATTTAAGATTTCAGGTCTGTTTAGAAAAGAAGGAAGTACTTTAAAATAGCTATTAGACAGTGTTTTAAATTTGAATAGAACATAGAAATATATAATAACTGCTCTAGTTTCTGATCTTTTCGTAATTGGTAATTCAAATAGGAGATTTTTTTTTTTTTTTTTTTTACTTTGTACAAATGCTATTGACTAAACTTTATTAATTTCATAAGTTTCAAAAGTAATACATATTATAAGAATATAACTAGCTATACATACAATTTTAGGTTATCTATTTTAAGTAGTCCGCTTGAAGGTTTTATACTAGCTGCTATATCTGAAATCTCTTAAAAGATTCACTATTTAAACTCTCTGGTCCTATCTCACTTACTGCAAATATTACTCTTTATAGTTAACTATAACCTCATGCTACTCTACTTTAGGAAGTATCTAAGCTGATATTAGTTGCAAATTTTATTGTTATAGGCTTAGATTTTATCTAGATAAGTCCTACTTCAACATCCCCTAACAGATAGATATTATGATATCCAACTATACTATATTATATTCTAATCTAGCTTGTATATACCCTTATTTGATATTTGTACAAACCTAGTTCTAGTCATAGCCTTTTACTAGTTTAGACTTCTGAATATTTTATGAGATAGATCCTCCTAATCTAGTTAGCTGCTAAGCCAAGTTAGTATTGCTGCTAAATACAAGGCATCTAACTGTGTTATACTGCAGACTTACTCATACCTATTCGATTCATATTCAGAAATCCTTGTCAAATTAAGTGTTAACTAATATGACTGTAGAAATCTATACTACTTCACCTAACTCAGGATTTCTACTATGCAGATCCTCTGCTCATAGATCCTATCTTAATTTATTTGTATAATGCAACTCAAATATTCTGTTACACTTCCAATATCTAAACAATATTAGTGCAATATAATTTATAAGGTTACAACCTCAGAAACAAATAGAGTTTACCATAAGTTGAATACAGATATCTAGATAATTATTCAATTCTGTTGACAGTGAGATTTGAATCCTAGACCTCTTATATGGTAGTCTGACAACCTATTTACTATACTAGATCACTGGACCTAAAAATAAGAGATTTTTATCTATATTATTTAGTATTAATTTAGATAATACAGAGAGCTTCAGTAAGATCTTTTCTATTACTTGACCTATAATTCCTCTTAGTTCTGATAGTTTATGTAATATGGTATCTCTTATAAAGCTTTTGCAGTATCTTATTATACTATATATTTTTCTTAGTAACTGACTTCTAAAGTCTGTGTTTGTTAAAGAGTTCATTACAAGCTATTATCTCAGCTTTGTATAGATCAGATCTCTAGTAGGTCTATTTGTGATAGTTAACTTATATTAGTCTTTATATCTGTTTAATACTTGAGTAAAGAGTTGCTAGTATTGAATTTGGTAAACTGGTTTAGACTGTTTGACTCTTGTAAATATAATAAAAAATGCAATATTTCTATGTTTAAATTTAAGTACGATTGCTTAGAGAATTATATATTATATTAGTGTTATTAATAGTTTGTGCTAGATAAAACTTTTTAAACTTTTCAGTATAGTTAGATTTTCTAATATTTTGTCTAGTGTCTAGTTCTGGAGGTTGAAGGAGTTTGATTCCTTGTCTGCTAAGTTCTAGTTGATTATTTCCATTTATATATTTGTGTTATCAATATGTATTAGTTTGTTCTACTCACTATTTGCTTATACTGCCTGGCTATATAACATGAAAGGAGTTGAAGTTACAGCATATGAAGTTTCCTCTATAGTTGAGATAGATCAGATATCTGCATCAGATATTTGAGTCAGAACTTCAGTAATAGAGTTTAAACTATCATCTTATTTTAGAAGTAGCTATACAAGCTTCTTACTATTAATAGTAATTTGTATAATATTATTACTATTTATGATAATTTGTGTATTATTATTATTGTTAATAGTATTAGATATTTTATTTTTTCCTACAAAGTAGTTGTTTACTGTAATACTATAAGTCACATGTCATATGTCTATATTTTTTGTCAGAGATATACTGTTTTGCCTACTTTTTGTAGTTTATGAGGTAGCAAGAGGATTAAATCTTTATTTCTTAATATTTAGTAGGTTTAGCTTTTGGTTTTTGTTATTAGGTAGAAGTTTTGTTGTGTCTTTACTAGTGCTAGCAAGATTATAATCATCTGAAGTAGATATTTGAGTAGTATTGTACTTCTGAGTAGGATAAAAAGTAAAAGGTTAAGCAAAAGTATCTTCTAGAGAAGAATAATTCTCTTTGCTGTTATTGTCTCTTTGCTTTTTTTTTTTATTTTGAGTTCTTATAAAGCTTAGTAGTTGTTTTATCATAGTTTTAGCCTTGTTAAACCAAATTTTTAGTATAATTAAGTAGCACATCTTAGTATTTTTAGTTATTTTTCTTTCTAGTTATTTTGGTAAAATGATCTATAGAAAAGAGTTTTTTACTAAATATATAATTAAGATTATTGAAAATATTGACTATATACTAATTATAATTATCTAACAAACTTATATAATTATGGTATAGTTGTTGACTATTATTTTTTGTAGCTTTATGATATAATATTGAATAAACAATTTTTGAGCAAATAACAATACAATTATTAGGCTATATGATAATATTATTTTTATAATATTAGAGCTAATACAATTTTAAATTGTCTAAACTAGAATGAAAATACTAGTTAGGCTATAACAATTTAAAATTATCTTAGCTAGAATGAAGATGCTAATTAGACTAAGACAATTTAAAATTGTCTTAGCTAGAGCAAAGGTTCTAATTAAACTAAGATATTTTTAAATTATCTTAGTTAAAGTGAAAGTACTAATTAGATAAGTACTTTTTTTTTAAAAAATAATTTCATATTTGTTAGCATTAATTAGGTTAGGACTATTTAACTAGTATAAACATATAATAAGATTAAAGCAATATAAATTCATAAGCTCAATATTCAAACTTTTACATATTATCCTCTATATTAATTATTTAGAAATTGAATATGTAGTTATGAAATATATTACCAGAAAAAAGTCCTTCAATAAATTCTTTATTTTTTTGTTTTTGATCTTTTTCAGAACTATTAACTCATACTTTTTTTGTTCTTTTTTCATAATATTTTAGTCAAGTTCAGCAAAAACATTAGTTGAGAAGAATACTTCAAGATCATTAAAAGTATTTACTAGTGATACTTGTAAATCAGTATATTGAATATATGAACTAGCAAGAATGAAATCATCAGTTACTGAGGTTATTATTCAGTAGTCTTTAGAGGTATTATAGTCTTTAGAGGCATCATATTCATTAGAAGCATCATGTTTAT